ATATAAAAATTTAGAAGTACCGTTAATTTCTTCAAGATCCAATGATCGATCTAAACCAGAGGTGGCCGGGACTCACACAATCATACATTTTAATTTTGCTAAACGATAAGAGAATGAAGAGAATAAGTCGCTCACGCGTCTGATGCAAACAGTGTTGTCAGCGATTTCGAGTTGTAAATTATAAGAAAAAGGGATTTTTTTTATTTTGTAAATAGTGTGAAAGGTAGATATAATATTAAAGAATTAACTTTTTAATATAATGCAATTCACTTAAATTGCTTGGTTCGATTTTTTAATATAATTAAAATTAAAATTAAATCAAATAGTTGAATTATTTTGAATTAAAAGAGAGGGATTAAACATTTTTACCGTGTCATGCAGCGAGTTGATTGCTTGAAAGTTTCGCATCGTTTGAGCACGATCACAGCAAAACCATAATCGTCGGCATCACTGATTCATAGAGTATGCTCATGTATGTGTGAAAGCAGCGCAGTTTTTCTCATGTACGTGTGAAAGCAGAAGAGAAAAATTTGGCACGCGTGCCTATGAAATGGCCACCCTTGATCTAAACCAAATTAGTATGGGACCTCCCCTGAGGCACCAGAAAAAGAACTATCGAAATCGGTTAATGTGGTCCAAAGTTATGTGGTAACATACGTGAAGAAAATATTCCTATGAATTGATTACCTCATTATTTTTTTGAAGTCGGCTAAAAATAGAGAAATTAATGAGATATATTATTATAAATTTTTAATAGCTATATTTTAACATTTCTAATAAAATTTACATTAAATAAAATCTCGGCCCCCCTACAATATGTTCTGCGTACGTCCATGATCCCTTGTCAAATTTATTTTATTTTTCGTTTAACGGAAACTGGTTCCAAAACAACCACCACTTATAGCGCTCTTACACGATGTGTATTTGCATATGTAAATGCATGATACAAAAAAGAAGGTAGTTTCAATAAACAACTTTTTGATTAAAAAGCAGATTTTTGACAATTGCTCAATTGTGAAAAAATCGAAGCGGCGTTACCCAATTGTAAGTTTTTTGGTGTGGGAGATTTTATATCCTAAATTTGGGATTATAAATAAAATATTTGTGTTAATATTTACCTTTTAAAAATAATTAATATCTTATCTTAAAAACGTTTAAATTTTACATTAAATTCGATAACAACTTGCCAAAACATTATTTTAATATTAATACAATATTAGTGAACATATTTAAAAATTTGTTTAGTGTCCTCATATCATCTGATTATTTCACACTGTAGTTTTCTATATCGGATTAAATGATTCTGATATAATTCAGACACTGAAATTATACATTTCGATGTGTTATTTAATACATATTTAACAACAAATGGAATTTACTTTGTGGCCCACGGGCCGCGAAATTTTTCCAGCAACACATATTGTTTTCAGATGAAGTTTTGACACACCCAAAAGTGAAGTATAAAATAAATAGATAAAAACAAATTTTCAATCAAACTGATTTGTGTAGTTCAGGAGCGTCTTTTGGTAAATGTTCTGGAGGCTGTTTTTATATATCCTATCTTATTATATATTTCTTAGCTTTTCTACATTCTGAGAAGTTGAGAGAATTAAGTCTTATGTTCTTTTTTGGTCAACTACGACGTTTGATTTCATTTTTTGCAATCATTAGTTCATTTCCCTTGAGGAGTCACAATGCCCACACCGGCTATAGCGATTTTTTTTAAATTTCGGACACAAACCTTCCAAGAATGAGTATAGGCTAAAATAAAACCGATATCTAAAGGTGGTGTGGAACCTCCCATACAATCGAATTTTTCATAGTGCATATCTCTGGAAGTATTTATGGTAGAGTTCTGGAACTTGGTATGGATATACATATGTATGTATGTGAAGTCAATCTCAACCTCATGGAAAAATATGGGTTTATTAGAAAATGCAGCATGCCACCGTAGAACTTGGAATAGAGGTAAATGAAATCAATCCCAAATCTATGAAAAATGGGGGGTATATGAAAACGATCTCGTAGCCAGCTACGAGAGCTAGCGTTATAAGCCATATAAACTAAAATTCTGGTGACGCATAGATACCTCTGGAAGCATTTACCTAGAATACTGAGATGAGGCATTTATCCAATGGAAATATGTACAGAAAAACGGGCGCGATACCTTCTGGAAAGTAGCATGATCACAGGGTGTATCCCTAGAACCATGTTAAGCTAAACCTTGAGGGATTACATTCTTGCCAAGACCGACAGGCATAAGCTGAAATTGCGTCGCAAGTTTTACGATCGGCTTGGGTAAGGTTTACCCACTTAACCCCCCTTTGTTTTCCCCGCTACTGAATTCTATAAACTGTCAGCTTTCAAACAATTTAAAATGTACATTAGAGTGGTCCAAAAAAATAAAGTCGTAGTTTTAATGCCGGCACACCCTAGGATTGATCTATATCGAAAAAAATATACCCCTATTTTTTATTTTGAAATTAAAAAATATTTAGGGAGTGCTCAAAGCGCTCAAAGTTTTCCATGTATTTTATAGGAGAAAAAACAATTTTTCGTAGAAATAGTATAAAACTCTTTAAAATCAATATTTTTCGACCGGGAAACTGTGGTTCTCTTCAGAAGACTTCCAGTATTAATATCTAATTGTTTTTTTAACCATTTTTTATGATTAAAGATTTTTTATTAGTTCCCCCCATTGCATTTTCTAAGGGCTTTGGAGGACCTATAAAATATAGTTACCATGAAAAAATTGTTAAAGAAACAATTGAGCATTATTACTGGGAATCTCCTGAAGATAAGTAAAGTTTTCCGATCGAAAAATATTGATTTTCAAGGATTCTACACTATTTCTACGAAAAGATGTTTTTTCTCCATATAAAATACATGGAAAACTTTGAGCGCTTTGAGCACTACCTAAATTATTTTTTATTTCAAAATAAAAAAAACATGGGTTTATTTTTTTCGGTATATAACAACCTAGGGGGCGGCGGCATTAAAAATCCGACCTTATTTTTTTTTACATACATTTTTGGACCACTTTAATGTACATGTGTATTTAAAAATGTCATGAAAATTGTGTTGCTAGAGTCATTTTGCAAAAATGTTGCAAGCTTTTTCACAGGGTGAACAGAATACTACTTTGCTGAGGAAATGTTGTGGAATTTCACACTTATTTCACAGAAAGAAATTTTATTTGCAATTTAACAGCTTTTCACGTGAAATAGGAATAAAATACTATGCTTGGGAACAAAGATTTTTAATTCACAAAAAATTAATAAGAAAATTTGAAGGATTTTAGATATTGGGTATGGTAGCACGAAATGTCACAAATCTGCTTAATTGTCAGGTTGTTAATATGGCGACGAAAAAGTGACAATGGAACTACCTTGTTTTTGGTATCATGTGTAAATGCTTCTTTTCTGATACGTTCTAATATATTGTGCATACGAGTATTTAGATACAAAAAAGTAGCATTTACATATGCAAATACATATCGTGTAAGAGCGATGTTACCACGAATAAATTTATGTTTGTATGTCTGTATGTATGTAATTATAAGTATACACCAGCAAATTTTAGTGCTTACGATGGGATGAAACTACCCTGCAGGGAAACCGGGGACTAGTGAATCCAATTTCTAGTTCCGTACTAAATCTTTATCGCCAGAAGCGAGCCAGTCCGATAGTAACTAGATCCCCACCAGTCCAAAATCAGCGAAATATGGTACTTTTAAAAAACAATTTTATTTCACTTTTTCCATTAGAAATCTATATCTAAGGTGACGAATTTAGAACTGGTTCGAAACTATAGAAAAAGGAATGCAGAACAAACTAGATCTTATCTGTCGAATTTAGAACTAATTCGGAACTATCGAAAAAGGGAATACGCTTCCATTCTGCACTTCGCAGGTGCTTTTTCATAGCTTGGTAAAACAAAACAAACATTTGTGTTAACATTTTAACATCTTGGGATATTCTGAAATCTAACCAATATAAGCAAGCACCTCTGCAAACTCAGTTACAACGAAAGGTATGAAAACGTACATTTTTTACAATCCTTCAAACAAATTTAATTTCAAACTGAAAACACATTTCTTTGAAAACGATTTTAAAACGCACACACGGAAGAACCAAAAAGATTGAAAAATCATGATACATTTTTCTATCGTCTGTCGTTTTAGAACTGGCTCGGAACTATACAATTTATTACTAGTTCGGAACTATCGAAAGAGGGATCCAGCGGTGGCCATCGCCATGTTAAATTCGCCAGTTGTTTGCATTCTAAAGAGATTTATTGCGAACCAGTACTGGATCTAAATGTACTAGAAGCGCAGCAGTTCAGAACTAGAGATTTTCCCCCAGGGTAAGAAAAGAGTATTACCAAATATTTGATAAAGGTACGAAAAGAACCAGATAACGGGTACTGAGTGTCTGCTCCATGAGCCAAATCGATGCGTTGTATAAATCGTAGAAACAGGAACTGCTTAACTTAATGTAATTTGTGTACGTCTTCAAAATTTTTTTTTTCTTTTATGAAATAATTTACTACTGGGAGAATTATTTGAAGCAGAAAAATCTGTATTTACATACAGACATGTGTACATATATTTAGCAAATATGCATACAGGGCTGCTTACATATCCCACACGTTGTTCAAAAATGTATTATTCTGAAATTTGTAATTTTTAATGTTATGCTCCAAAAATTTTCATAGACCGTATGTTTACCTTTCAGTAAAAGTTGAATGAAGCAAAATTTGTTAGCAGGAGACAAGAAATTTTTGTTCCTGTTTTCTGGAAAACGGCAAATCTAGAGTTACTACATTTTTGAAGAATGTATGCTGTATGTAGTATCATAGTATTGAGAGCGGCTCTAGTTTGACACTTTGGCAAATACGATAAACACAAATCGTGCGCTGATAGTACATAGGTTGAACGAATGACGACTACTCGTATCCCGTCGTCCTCTGCGTTGGTGTCATTGTTTTTCTGTTCCGCGTAAATACTCGTATGTTCTTTGGTTTATACATAAACGTCACTACTGATAGCAAGTTAGAGGCTTTACGACCAAATTTTTCACATTGAAATGCCAGTACACATTTGAGCAACGCGACGTCGGCAAAGAAAATTTTGAGCGAAAAACGAAAGGAATAAAAAATATGTAAAGAAGAAAATTACCACGCAAAAAAATATATAGTTTGGCGAAATAAAGTGTGTTACAAGTTTAGTTCAAAAGCCAAAACTACTTTTATATAAATAAATGCAAACGGAAAAATCGAAAATGAATAAGCTAATAAAAATATATTAGCCTGATACACTCAATGACTGCGTTGGTGTAGTTAAAGTTATGGGTTGACTTGAAAGTGGAACGTGAACTTGCAAACGACATACACACATACAAACAAATAAATATATTGCGCGGGTGGAGAAAAAAAAAACCCTAAACGAATTGAAAGTGAGTCAAACTTAATGGTAGGCATTGCACTTAGAGCCACAAACGATGCAGCGGACGCGGTGCAAGTTTGCTGTGTCGTCACAGAGATTGGAAGTCGCCGTTGCCGAAATGTACTGCCAACAATGGAAAAGTAGCAGTCGGAGTATTGAAAGAAAAAAACGTAGTATTCTTTGAAAGATCAATCAAACAAAGAGTGGATGCATAAAATCGCCTCTCCTCCCATTATAACTGTGATAATAACAAAAGAGAATACAAATAAGTGGAACTGAGATTGATATCAATTGAACAGAAAAAAAGTAGAACGGGGCGGATGAGTAACATATAAACCTATAGTGCGAGTGTGTACACTAATAAAAAATACTTAATGTTAATAACTAATAAATATATACCAGCAAAGCTTTAAAGAGAGTCTGTGAGGTCAAACAGTGATTACACGGCTTCATGTCCGACTTATGCCAAGAAGGAAGTCCATCGACAACTAAATCATATATAGCATTTAAGATAAAACAACGTATGAATGTTCAAATGTAAAATGTTTGTATGTAAGAGTTGAGAACAAGATGCAAATAACCGAGATGTTATAGCTACCCTTAGTTTAGTAGTTATTACAGTGCTTTAGAAGTAAACAAAACACCAATTTATTAGCAAATAAAAAAATCGAAATATCAGCAAAAATATATAAATTTTAGTTAAGAATTTAAGTAAGAAAATTTCGAAAGAATAACGTTTCTCCTAATACAAAAAACAAAGTTCCGAATGTAATGGAAAATATAACACTTATTATACCTACATAATACATAGAAACAAAAAGTTATGTTATTTTTACCCGCGGGTCGCCAGTGAATAAAACTTTAATAGGTAATAAACAAACAGACTGCACACACTTAATAAAAAATTGTTGAATGATCAAAACTAAATAACTCCTTATAACACCAAATTCAGCAGATTGATGTCGTTTGAAATATCCTGCAAAAAAATTTAAGAGGTAAAAAATAACTAAATGAGTGTGAAAATACTCGTACAATTCTACGGAATGAAAGGAATATAAAAAAAATTTTAATTTGTGCATAAAGGTTACATGAAAAAATATTGAAAAAGCATATAAAATTATAGTAAAATTTACAAAATAGAAGAATTTATATACAATACAAGCATAAAAAACATTAACTTAAGCAAAAAGCTATAATACAAAATTAGGGAATTTAACGTGTAGTTTACGAGTACATTAAAAATAAGCCAATAAACAATAGCAACAAATATGTTTAAATACAAAATATATAAATCCTAAGTATATCAAAGAAGATTTAATACATATGAATGCATAAGCGTGAGTGTACGTACATATAAAAAAGCAACGAAGAACTTACGTGCACGTGAACTTACTCACTCAAAAAAATATCAGTAGCAGACCCTTTTGCATTAATATTACTCGAGCATTGTCGGCGAAAATTGTGACAGAATGTCAGCAAACTAAAGTTTGTAAGTACATAATTAAAAGTTAGTAAATCATAAGCTCGTCAAAGTAATTCGTACAAAATATTTATATTCAATTGAAAAAAAAGAAATATTTATATTTACAAAACTGGTAACAACATTCGGTTAAAAGCAATACACCACCGCCGTTTTTTTTCGTTATCCTACTGGTACCAGAGCAGCAAACCGACAATCAACTAACCGGGACCATCGAGCGTCATAACTTAGCATATGGTCATAAGATATTGATTGGCAATAGCACATGCAAATTTCCGTACACCCAAACTACATACATATGTAAACGATTTTGAGATACACAATTTGGTAAATAAAATTGAGAAATAAGCATAAAACCGGTAGCGCAGTGGTGGCAAAGCGGATACTAACGAAAAAAAGCGCAAAGGAGACAGACCGCACACCAAATAGCAATTGTGATTTAGATAACAGTGACAGCTGGCAGTAAACAACCCCCATTGCTCAATTGGCATTAACATCAACATTACAGCATTCAATACTGTTAGTGAACAGCTGTGCGTTTATACATGCATACATATTTGTTTAGAATAGAAAGAACAGTTGTTTGCGCTGCACTAGTATTATATTTGTGTATAAATCGGTTTTGGCGTTATCCAACATTCAAAGCTCGAGCCTCCGAAGTTTTAAGAGCTTTATTAAATACGAATTTAATTTCATAGCTTTTATTCGCACTAACAAGCTACTACAGTGCTTTCAAAATTGCACCAAACGCTGTTTGTATTGTTGTTATGAAAACCTGTTGCTCAAACTAAAAGTGTAAAATCCCGTTAGAAATTAAATAGTCTCCCACCAACAGTTGTGAAAACAAGTCGTTAAAAATTAATAAATAAATATACGAAATTTCAAAACCAAAATAACAAACTAAATAAGTAATATTCATGTAATGCGTATCCCGGCTTCCCCCGCCAAAAAAATATACTCGCACTACTATCACTTCGCTGTATACTTGTTTCACTACAAAGACTCGCCTATACACATAAAACGAGTTTTAATAGCTGGCTAATTAAATATGTCATATATACCCGATGATGCTAGCAGTATGAGCGACGACGTCTTCGAAGATCCCGAAACAACCCAACGTCGTTTGGAGGAGACTGTACGCCATCGTGTGGACTTCAGTGGCAGCGGTGGCGGCAGCAGTGGTCTCGGTTCCAGTATAGGCGGTAGTAGCGGCAAGGCATGCAGTACTGGTTATCCTGGCTATCGTCCACCGGTGAAAGCTTTGCAGATGTATGCACTTGAAGATGCAGTCTTTCATGATGACGCTTACGAAGACGAATATGAGGATGGTTGGCGTTCCTATCGCTACGATGAAGTGGGCATGTATAATCAACCGCAACAACAGCCGTTCGATGACACAGTCAATCACAAGGTAAGTTTTATTCGAATTGAGTTTACGTAGAATTTCTTTGCCTACGAAATGATCAAACTATGTAAATCGTCGCTTTCACACACTTTAGCAGTTATACCAAGGCAAAAAATGTTCAAGGGTCACTGTATTTGATCTACATTGTTGTATCATGATCTTACTTTTTGTTGCTTGTACTGGCTCCGTAGTCGATTTTTGAAGTGAAACTTCTCTGGGCTTTATGGTGCTTTTTTTGTACTCTTCTACTGCATAGAAGCAGGCTACCATACAAATACTTTGTTTTTGTGTCATTCTGAGGTACTCCTCGCGGGAAATATTTTGCTATATAAATGCTGTGTTTCTTGTTCAAACCATTTTGATTATCTGATGCATTTGCCCACTTCACTTATGGTAGCTTCTGATAGGTCTCTTAAAGCATAGGCAGACGGCAACGTTGATCCGGATTAACGCCCCAATTGATCTTATCAAAATTGTGCCTTGATATACGGCAGTAATGCGGATTTACGAGCCGCGAGGTCGTAGGTTCGAATACCATGGCCAGTAGAATATTCATTTAATTTTTTTTATTTATTCAATTATAACTTCTATATATTTTTTAAGTTGTTTTTAGCTAGTCGTTTTTGACTTTTTTAGTAAAATTAGACTCTTAAAATTTTAATTAACTAATAATAAAATAAAAAATGTGAAATAAAATAAAACAAACGAAGATAAAATAAAACAAACCAAAATAAAATAAAATAAAGTTAAATATATAAATCAAATAGAATTAAGAAAAAAAATTTAAGTAACAATAAAAACAAAATTTGTTGGCAATCGCTCCAACCGGGGATCGAACCTGTTCTTAAAGCATAGACAGAAGGCAGCGTTGATGCGGATCAATTCGTTTATTCGAAATTATCTCGGGAATTAACAGCAGTTGATCCGGATTAAGTCCTAGAGTTAATTCCCAAACTTAACTCGGGTCAAGGGAATTATCGATGACAACACTGACCAAAACTCAGAGAGCGTAGAATACAGAGAATGAGCAAATCTAGCATGGACATATACCTTTCAATTTTAATGCAGTCACCATACTAACTCAGATTTTAATAAAATTTAGGGCCGGTTGCTCAAAGCCTAGTTGACACTAATCATCGGTTAACATCGTTATCGACGTTTTCGACTCCATGCCAGTGATGAAATTGATGGTACAATTGTACTGTTTTGGTACATTTTGGAAGTCAAAAGTACATTGGTACTACATTGACATTTTTGATACAATTTTATCAAAATGCGGCACTGCACCACACTGTGTATACTTGGAATTAGCATTTTTGTGGATGAAAATATAGGCATATTGTTCTACCTCGTAGAATTGAATACGTCGTGTTTATTAAAAATAAAATGTTTGCTAAAATCAACAAAAAGTTGCTGTGATAATAGGCCTACTCATAAACATTTACAGTAAAAACTTACAGAAACATAGAGAGTGAAATTGAGATGTAGAGAAAATTATCATAAAAAGTTATTGAACGCAAAACTAGCAAAACCGTGCAATTTACGCCATTTTGGCTATCTGATGTTTAAGGTTTGCCGCGTAATTAATTTTGCTTTTGGTTGGGAATATTTACCAAAAATCAAAAAATCTATCTTAGATTAAAATTATGCATCCATATTTTCATTTTAGGCATCTTTTTATCAAATCTTCCTCTAAACACTTTGTTTACATTGGAAATAGACACATGACTGATTTTTTACTTGTAACAATTTGCAGCTCTATCGGGGTGTTAAGCTTTAGAAATCATCTTCTTGAAAATTTTTGGGTTATTGAATGCACTTCCAGTAAAAACTTGCAAAAACTGGTCACTATTCGTAAATATCTTTTGATCTTGAACGGGTCTGGGAGTGTTTTCGTATTCTCCAGATAAAAGTATGCATCAGAAAAAATTCTGAGCATCGCTATCAAAGAAACAAAATATATAGACAATTTGCAATTTTTGAAACAGCTGATCATTTTCCCAGTTTTAATAGGTGATATATTTGATAATTTATTATCCGGTTGGAGCATTGTCCCCGGTTTGGCATTGTTTACTATTGAATACTTTTGGATAGGAAAAACACTTTTAACATATGAATGAATATGTATTTTTCTCACAATTGATACCACATCATAATGCATTCAAAAATAAAAGGAACTCCTCCAAATACCCATCTTTGTTTCAAAAAAAAAAATAAGTAAATATATGTAGCTATGTGCCTTTAAAACTAACCCATTTTCTTTTCCACTATCAACTGCCTAATTCTGCTAAAAACATTTCAGCATTTTTATTTATTTTGGAGAATTGAATACGGCAATCATAGTTGACACACAATACATAAAATAAAAAAATCTGGAGATTAATAGTAAATTAACTAAAAATAAAGTAAATATTTTGGACAACTTTTATATAGAGAATTTTTCTAATTTATGTGTATGATCTTTTTAATGCTGGTACATTTTCGGTTTATTTAGTACATTATTTTTGGTCATTTGGTACAAAATTAAAAGACTCATTTATCATCCTTGCTACATTCTACGCTCTCTGAGTTTTGGTCATTATTGTCATCGAATATTTCCTTGATCCGAGTTAAGTTTGGGAATTAACTCTAGGACTTAATCAGATGCAGTTAGTTCCCGACATAATTCCGAATTAACGAGTTAATCTGGATCAACGCTGCCGTCTATCTTTGCTTTTAGTTGTATTACTAAGTATCTTCTTAGTGTTTTATAACTATTATTCGAATGACATGGACATTCACACAGGAAATACTGGAAACTTTCTTCCATATCTTCTAGCTGACAGCTGCGAAAATGTATATTAACTATAAAATAGTCCTGTTCTTGTCGAAGATTTGCCTCATGGCCAGTGCCCCGTAATGGTTGCCACTTTTCTGAACACTGCTTTTCTTGATGTATTAAGCAGATCCAAGGCCTTCGACCTGTTTTTGGTCAGTGAGAATACTCTTGAAATTTTGCACGTCTGTATATCTGACCCCCTGTTTCTCTCCAGTCCAAGCAAATGCAGAGAAATTTCTTTTTGGGTTACTCCAAAGAGAACAATCCAGTGTCACCGCTTCGGATTCATACCAAAAGGCTCCACCTTCCCAGTTCATCAGCCTTCTTATTGCCTTCAATGTTTCTATGTCCGCCAATCTGGATCAGAGAGAAGGTAGTTGACTGAGGCACTAAGCGGGTTCAATTTTGCATTCCTTAACTAGCTTAGGTTTGGTAACCTGAGATACTTTCGCTTTATTTTTGTACCCGACTCTATTCTTCCTCTTCTTGTTTTGTTCTGTTGCTTTTTAAGCTAGTTTGGTCGAGTTCAAAAAGGCACGCCCGTCGCTTCCATTTCGTGCTGTTGAAAGCGGCTCTGAAATCGACAAATATATGGAGTGTCGATCCTATTCTCGCGGGTCTTTTCCCAGATTAGGCGTATTGTGAATACCTGATCTAGGGTGGATTTTCCAGATCTAATGCCCCGTCAGTTCGTTGACGGTGGGCTTCAGTCTTTCGCACAATACACTCGATAAGAACTTGTAACGTATGGTTAGAATGCTGATCCCGCGGTAGTTTGCGCGTATTGCGGGTCGCTTTTCTTGTGGATTAGATGCGTTCATCTGACCATATTTAGCATAAGATTTGATGCATGCACCCCCTTAGCTTTTCGCAGCCGTACTTGAATAACTCGGCTGGCAGGCCGACAGCTCCAGAAGCCTTGTTGTTTTTCAGCCGCGTTCGCTCGGGTTCGTCTTCTCCACTACTTTCAATTTTGTTCCCATTCAATACGGTGGAAAAGTGTTGCCTTTATAGTTTAAGATCCTTCTGAATATCTGCCACTAGGTTGCCATGGTTGTTCTTACAAGAGTTTGCCCTTGTCTTGAAACCTTTAGTAAGTCGCCTAACTCTGTGGTAAAATTTTCGGGCGTTTTTCCTGTCGGCCAGCATTTCAAGCTCTGCGCACATGCGGAGTGTGCCTAAACATTCGTCCACCGGGGTGAGCGACAACTCTCGGCGACGGAGTCTCGCTCCCACCACAAATGCAACACCGAATTTTTTACACGTCGCAAGGCTGCACGTTTGCCTTACATTTCTTGAATGGCGATGAAGCTTTAATCTTCCCGAGTACATCAACCAGCCGGCAGAGACACCTTCCCCATTAAGGGTCTGGATATTCCATGTGCGTGCCCTCAAATAATACTTCTTTATACGTTTCCCGTGGTCGTCACCAAAAGAAGAGGGTCTCATCCGAGGCATAAATATCCGGACGTAGTGAGTTGCGATTTGAATCATACGCACAAGAATAACTTCTGGCCACTCCCAAGTGAATGGAAGTCAAAAGCTTTTCCTACTTAATCTCGCTATGCAGTTCATTGCGAGCGTGAACGTGAACCTTCACAAAGGCAAAGAATGCCATTTGTATTCCTTTGCTCGAATGCTTTGCGAACGCACACAGTTGTGTGTGAACTTGTAAAATATGCATATTATACTTTTTAAATTACTTTTAATTCTATAATCCTGAAATGATAAGTGAAAAATGAAGTAATAACGAAGCTTTGAACTATATGGCGAGCTTTGCGTGGACTTCTGCGCGCGTAACCATCCACCAACTATAAATAATTTTAGTGGTGGTGAACAAATTTGCACTACACTCAAATAGGTTAACATTTGAACAGTCACTACATCAGTTACAAGTAAAAATATTTTTATGTAACATCATCACTTGAGATCGACTTGACAGATTTGGTTAATTATTTTCTTGTTGTGTTCATTATAAACAATACAACGTTTGGCCCTGGAATCCAGTTATTATTTAATAAAAACCTTCTGAATTGGCTCATATTTGAAATGAGTATTGGTAACGCAAAATAAATACTGCAGCAAAAAATATTACTAAGCGATAAACTTTTCACTCAATCTTTCAATTTACAACCGGTTTCACCAGTAATTTAAGTTGCAAATGATTTTTTACTTTCTGTCAATTTCAATATAAAATTGAAAAAAATTAAAATCATTTTTCACTTAAATTGCTTTCGTGAAATCGGCTGTTAGTGAAAAGTTTCTGTGTTTCACTCACATTAATGCTGTTTTTTTTTTTGCATTATCAATTTTAGTGAAGAAAAAATGTTTTACCAAGCTGAAACCATTTTTTTCACTATTCGCTGGTTAATTTTAGTGGAATATTTTTTTATTTCCTCATCACTTTTGTATAGTGAGGCTGCTGTTTTGCAATTCCCCGCTAAACCTCAACAGTAGTAATGAAAAATTGTGGACTATCACTAGCTAGTACTGTAAATTGGAATTTCAATGCACTAATCCCAACTTTGTTGAATTTCATGTAGCATTTAAACTTTGTTGTATTTGCAGACAATATTACTTGGCGACTCCGGCGTTGGTAAAACTTCTTTCCTAGTAAAGTACAATACGGGTGAATTTCGTTTGGGTTCCTTCTCCGCGACAGTGGGTATCGCACTAACGGTGAGTAAAAAAAATATATATGGATTTAAGATATTGGCTTAAGCACTGCTGGCAAAATGCATGCCTTTCCTATAATATCACTTGCTTTGGTTACAAAAAAATTTCGTTTCCGTTGATTTTGTAGTTCCAACTTACTTACATCAATCCCTCCAAAAGGTTTCTGTAAGAAAATATACATATACGTATATATATGTATATTAGGGTGGGTCAAAAAAAATCGAAATTATTTTTTTTGCATCCGACATACGAAAACTAGTTCCTAGATACCTCTAGAAAGTACTTACCAAATCTGAGCTCTTAATATTAACGGGAAGATTATGCTCATCATAGTTTCCCATTTTCAATTTAGTCTCATATAAAAATGGTCATTCTTATCACCAATAGATCGTTAAACCAGTTTCATGGTCAATATTTATAGGAAATTCAACGCTCTACAAAAACGGTTTCGTATACTCTTTTCATTAAACTAACCATTAAAAAGATATTCAAGGTCAAAGATTGAAGTATTTTAAGGAAAATAACTTTTTGTTTTAATTTTGTAACTTACTAAAAAATAATTATTGTCAAATGAGTTTCAATTATTTCTATAGGAAATTAAACGCTCTGCAAAAAAAAAACGCATGTAGCTAATCCATTACTCTAACCATTTAAAAGATAATCGCAGTAAAATCCCACTGCCTGATTTTAATAGTTTTTCAATAATTATTTTAAATTTATCAATTCAGTTTATGAATTTTGATAATATTCATGAGAATTTGAGTTTATAAATTTGTATCAACTCAATTTTTAATCAAGTCAATTTTTATAACTTAAACTAAAAGAAAAAATATATTTTTGTATAAATACTGTATTGAATTATAAAATTTCATATGGCGAAATAGAATTTTTTTTTCTGCTATGTTTGATGATATTTCTTAAATAAAAACCTTCGTTTTCTGAAATAGATTTATGATGTCAAAATCATAAACTAAATGGATAAATAGGAAATATTCATTAAAAAACTATTAAAATCAGGCGGCGTTGGAGTTCTACTGCGAATATCTTCTAAATGGCTAGATTAATCGATTAACTACATGAGATTTTTTTTGTAGAGCGTTTAATTCCCTATAGAAATAATTGAAACTCACTTGACAATAATTATTTTTTAGTAAGTTACAAAATTCAAAACAAAAAGTTATTTTCCTTAAAATACTTCAATCTTTGACCTTGAATATCTTTTAAATGGTTAGATTAATGAAAAGAGTATACGAGACCGTTTTGTAGAGCATTCAATTTCCTATAAATATTGACGATGCAACTGGTTTAACGATCTAGGGTGATAAGATATGACCATTTTTATATGAGACTAAATTGAAAATGGAAAACTATGATGAGCATAATCTTCCCGTTAATATTAAGATTTGGTAAATACTTTCTAGAGGTACCTAGGAACTAGTTTTCGTGTGTGGGATAAAAAAAAAAATACTTGATTTTTTGTGACCCACCCTAATGTATATATGGGTCATTCCACGTAAAACGGTTCTGCTCAAAAATGGTGGAAAGCTATCGGTATTTTTAAGATGTGGCCTTCAAATGACCTCGTGAGACAAACACATATGAGCCCTTGATTTTGAAAGTGGTATAAGTCAAAAATTTTAAAAATCGACTTTATCAGCTATTTCATATCAAATTCTAATAAAAATAACATAATCTGAAGAGATTAGCAGTATGCCATGAAAATTAACTCGATCAAATGTCATTATTTTTTGGTTGGTAAACAAAATACGGTTACTGTTTCTTTTGATAGTGGTATAAGTCAGTCTGTTCACAAAGTTTGGCAAAATAATTATTAGTAATTTTGTCATGTCTTCAGATAGCGGTTCAGGTATGATCAAGTAATCCTTTTAATGTAAAAACGTACTATTTATAGTTAATTGTAGACATTATACGGCGAAGAAGTATAAGTAATGCTCCCAAGAAATGGAAACGAATAAGACTAATATCGTCTTCAGATGAATCAGTTCATACTTTAGAAGTGAATTCCGAACCCTTACAAATGGAAGAAAGCAACTTGAAATCAAGAAAGAGGACACGAAATCCACGTAATTATGCACAAAATATAAGAAAAATGAAGAGAAATAGTGGAGAGGAATATGAAACAAAAGAGTCTAAGCATGTGAGTGGTAAACTTTTCGAAAATAAAGATTGCCTTTGTTCCAAAAAATGTTTAAATGGAATCGGATATGAAGACAGGAAAGCTAATTTTGATTGTTTTTGGAAATTAGCAAGTTTCGAAAAACAGAATTTGTTTGTCTATGGTTTGGTTCGAAAACAATCAATAAAGCAAAGACGACCCAGAAATTACGAAGGATATATGAGAAAGTGTAGTTTTAAGTTTCATCTAAATGTACGGAATTCAGAAGTTTCTGTTTGCAAAACTTTTTTTTTTGGATACTTTTAAAATATCTAACGGAAGATTAAGCCGTGTCCTAAATGTTAAAACACCTGGAACGGATGGTCGTGGCAAAATGGCTGGTTCATCTAGAAAAACAGATGAAGAAAAAATTAAAGTGGTACGAGAACATATTCTGAGTTTTCCAGCATGTGAGAGTCATTACACGAGATCACATCACACTTCAGGTCGAAAGTATCTAAGTTCTGACTTAGATATTCGAAAAATGTATGAGCTGTATGTGAAAAAATGTGATGAAAATAATACATCACGTGTTAAGGAGTGGACTTACAGGAAAATCTTCAATACGGAGTTCAACCTTAATTTTCATACTCCTCGTAAAGACACGTGCCAAAAGTGTGATTCGCTAAAACTAAAATTGAAGCATCCAGTAATGAAGACAGAAGTTGCATCTTATGGAAATTCATGATTCACATCTTAACAGTGCCGAACAGGCTAGAAAAAGTTTAAGAGATGACATGCAAAAAGCAAAAGATAACCCGAGTGAATATTACGGATTCACATTTGATCTACAGAAAGCACTTGCTTATCCAAAACTTTCTGTTTCGGTAGCTTATTATAAGCGCAACATGTATGTATACAATTTAGGGTTTCATAATTTCCACAATGAAAATGCTAAAATGTATACATGGGATGAAACAATCGCCTCAAGACAAGATTCGGGACATTACTAGTCAAAAGCACGTCATAGCTTACAGTGATACCTGCTCAGGACAAAATCGTAACATTAACACAGCTTTAATTTGGTTAAAATTTGTTCAGTCATCTGATAATAATGTTGAAACAATTGATCATAAATTTATGGTACCCGGCCATTCTTTTTTGCCAAATGATCGCGATTTTGGTTTGATAGAAACTAAAATAAGAAAATCGAATTATTTATACATACCTGAGCATTATTATAATTTAATAGAAGTATGTAAAAAGAAAAACCCATTTTTGGTAGTACGAATGGCTCAGAAAGATTTCATTTCGACACAACAACTAAAGGAATCAACGAATAATAGAAAGAAAAACACCAATGGAGAAGCTGTATCTTGGCTAAAAATACAACGGATCAGATTTCTAAAAAATGCTCTATATAAGATGTTTTATAAAACTTCCTTGGATGACAATTCCGAATTCAAAGTATTAGACCTCTCACCTAAAAGAGGAAGACCTCGAATATACGAAAATATTGATTTGCTTCCATTATACACAACCATCAGACCAATAACAGAAGAAAAACGTAAAGATATGATGGATTTACTACCCTATATCCCACAAATTTTTCACAAACACTTTATTTCCCTAAACACTAATGAATAATTTACTTTGTTTGATTTACTTGAAATGAATAAAATGAATAAAATGTTAATTACTAATAAAAATGTTTCCTTGAGTCATTCATAAAGTGATGCAGTTAATTTTGAAAGTGGTATAAGTCATTTCAACCTTTCAAAACCACATTTCCTTTTAAAAATGGTTATAAATTTCACAATCATAATAAATACTTGTTTGTTGGCACTACTTTACTATCGAAAAATCATATTCCATAATACAAAAATATTTTATAATCCTTTAAAATGTAAAACTCTAAATTCCTCGACACAAGGAAAATATGACTTATACCACTTTCAAAATCAAGGGCTCACATATACATATAAACGCAAACATTTTCAATAAGTGATGGTATAGAAAAACAATGAACTCTGAAAAAAAGCCAATATTTTATCCAACCAAAAACCTTTTTGTATAACTATATACGACACCAGGAAATATAGGACCATCAGGCTCGAAGCATATAACTTACCAGCATGCTGGTACAATATTTATTTCTTTACAAATGAGGCCGAGGAAAGATCAAAATGATTAGAGCCGAAATTTCATAATTTTTCTACCATTTTGTTAAACATTGTTGTTTTTTTAATTCACAACTGCAATATCGTGAACTTAATCTTCCACAAACACTCATACAATAGTGCAAGAAATTTCCGCCAAAATACGTTTTGCTTAGAAAATTTAGCTAATTTCACTACTCACGACACCAGCATGCTGGTATAATCATCAAATTTTTAAATAATTTTTGAAGTCGCACCAGCAGCTGGTACAATCACACCACAGAACGGTGGGGTGCAATAACACCATACGCAATAACGCCATATGGTCTTATTTCCATTTTGTTTTGTTTCCAATCCAGAAGTGAAATAAAGTCATATTCAAATTTGTGCAAATGAGTAATAAAGCCATATTCTAAAATGACACTCTCAAGGCGAATTAATAAGGCGGTGTTACCGGCGAATCTGAATTTTTCGCCGTAGAGAACATAACGTCCAAACGATGTGTTTGTTGTAATTCATTATTACATTCGCCTTGGACACCCACTTGAATTAAAAATACATACCTGGCAACACTATGTGTTAATCACATGTTTGAAATTGATACTGAATTATTTAAATTGATACAAATTATTACTAATAAAATGAAATAAATAATTATTTAATATTTCCGGATTTATTGGATATTGCGGGGTGCACATGACCCCCGCGCGCTCATGACCCCCGCGTCTCGCTGCACTGCACTCGCGCCGCCCCTCCCAACCCTTATCCGCAAAAACTGGTTTTATGTTTTCAAAACAAAAAACTTTAAAAAGCGCAATAAAACCATAATGGCTTTATTTCCATTTCCAGTTGGAAATAAGGCCATATCGAAATTATGGCTTTATTCCCAATCGCAAAGCGAAATAAAGCCATTATGGTCTTATTGCGTATGGTGTTATTGCACCCCACCCACAAGAACATACACGGTCAATCAACTTGATGGCCGTAAAATTATCTATTTTGAACTATAGTTAAATCGTTAATAGATAAGTTGACAGCCCTAACACTTTTATAGTATGTAGGTTTAAAAACGTATAGAACATACTATACATATATGTATATATATATCAGTCTTTCTTAGCTTAAAAATTATTTATAAAAATTAAAAATCTTACATAAATGAAAATATGAGATCAAATAAAGCATATACAACTTTTTCATGCCAAGTATGAATAAATTCTCCAAAGGGCTAGGGGCAATTTTAAATTTATGTGGCCAAAAAAAGTATGTGGTAGCTAAATCTGGCCACCAAAGGCCTAAAACGGCAACACTGATCTGCGTACATAGTATATACATGTGTATGTACTTGACACACGCTAGCCCTTATCGTAGTGCATCTGACAATTTTGAGCGTAAACTAATTAAAAGTGTTGTTGTTGGCTGAAAATAGTTGGCTGTAGGTTAATGCATTTGGCTGAAACCAATTTTAAATTTATTTATTAAATCTATTGTGTAGGATCCACTAAACATTTATGTACTTATGCTGTGTTTTTAGCATAAATAAATATGCGTTTTATGTAAACGTGTTCTCATTCCAATAATTATAAACCATAATTAAATTTTTTGAACATTACGCTATGCACATACTACCGTCTCTTGGAATGCATCATAAAAATATATTAGGGGTATTCTCGAAGTCTTGCGCAAGATGCTAAAATACTATTTCAAATTTCGAAGAGTACGAGAGCACCCTATTGCAAAGTGGTAGCATGCATGAACCAACGACTACAGATCACGTAATCCGCCATCGTTGTATTTGTAATCGATTTTCAGAAAAAAGTTTTCGTAGCGTTTTTGATGTTTTTTGGTTCTGTTTACATCGTCTTCTACCTCTTCGTAGTGATATTTTAGCGATTTTATGTGTTTTCTGCAGCGGTTTTAATTAGAAATTTTGATTTATTACAAATTTATGATATAATATGAAGTGCTTCGTGATTGGAACAAGTTTGTGCGTCTGTTTGATTTGCCAAGAGGCGTAAATTTGCGTGAAAAGTGGGTGCACATTTGTGGTCAGAACGTTGGCATTGAAAAATCGGCCGGTGCCGATAATATGCGATTGTAAAACACTCTCAATCATTAAAACCATATTTTATGAACTTTTTTTGCTAATTGTCATCAAGTTTCACTTTTTATATTTTATAATAAATACAAATCTAATCGCACTCAATAACCGCGCCTTTTTCGTTTTCTTTGTTTGTTTTCATTTTTAGGCAGATGTCAAAAACGCTCAGAAATTTACTTTTTTCATTCTTTTCCGATTGCGTGATCTTGTTAGTTGGTTCATGGTAGCATGCATGGGTACAGTGTTGCCATTTTGGGATTTTGGGGCTAGATTTAGCTCTTTATTTTTCTATTTAGCTCCGGAAATTGGGCTTTAGCTCCTAGCTCCTTTTTTAGCTCTTTACAAAATTAACTAATACCTTTTTAGCTCCAGAAAGTTTTAGTTGTATTTGGTAATATATTACAATTAAAAATCTGTAATTTCATTGTACAGTTTCTACAATGTGCGTGGGAGCACACAAACTATACCGGGCAGTAATTCGAGCTCCGATAAGCTCAGACGGTGTATTCTGGGCTTGTTCGAGTTGCAATCACAACCGCAGTGTTGCGCGAATGATTAAAGTATCGCGTTCTGTGTGAATTTCTAGCAATGTATTATCAGTTGGGCAGTTGCAATAATGTTGCCATTTTTCATCAGTACGGCAGTAATGCCGCTTTTATTACGTGCCTCGAACAGGCCCTCTCTCTCAGGCGGCCACGGTAGAAATGAAAAGCCAAGACTTAAGCGTTGATAAAATTACTATTAAAAGCTTTTTTCAGCACTTAAATTTATAAAATTCGTTG